GGCAGGGGGTCAGGCTAGATGATCTGTTCAGGTCCCTCCTGACCCTAGCTACGATGAAACTATGAAACCTTGTTGTTCTCTCTAGAGGGCTCACCTCGGAAAGGTCTACGCCAGTCCCCTGTCTTCCGTATGAGGTCCACCGTCTCTTTCCCATCATCTTCTTCTGTCTTCCTTTAGTACCAGTACATTTCACTCAGTCCAATTTTAATACAGTCCTTGACTGGGAGGTCTGTGTGCCTATTTATGAGCAAGTTCCTGGTCTTCCATAGGGCATACCTGAAGCAGGAGCTGAACTGGTCAAAGTGGCTGTTGGGGCCCCTTGCTGTTTGGTCAAGTGCCCTTACAGTACTGCCTCTCTGGTCAGGGTTATAAAAACCTGTCACCATCAGGAGGAGTGCGCAGACTTCCTTCCACACCTCTCTGGTGTGTGGGCAGTCCCAGAAGAGATGGCCAATTGTATTCACCTGGCACTGTCCAGATTACTTTGGGCAGCTGGATGGACTTCTCTTCCCTGTTTCTCCATGCCCGCATGAGGAGTGTCCAGTGGGCTGCCTGCCAGTTCAAGTCTTTGTGCTCTTTCTGCAGGTCCTTGTGGAAGATTCTCTCCTACACAGCCTGGCAGCTGTCACCAGGTAGTAACTCCAAGAATAATATGATGTCTCTTGCCCTTACCACCTCTTGTATCTTCCAGTGGTTCATCAGGGTTGCTGGGGCCTTGTTGTGAAGTTTGTATTTATTCTGGAAGCATTTCAGGACCTCGTAGAACCACAGGAACTCCATGAGCTCACGTTGGTCACCGTGTAGTAGCTGCCCTGCAAAATACTTTACAAAGCGGGTTGTTTTGGATTCTGTCCCTGTTGTCAGTTTGTAAATCTAGCTCATCCCCTTATGCACCTGTTGGGCTGTCTGTCTGTGTCTCTTTCTCTCTCTCGCCCTCCCTCCAACCTGTACTTTGCACTGGTCCCCAATGGAGCCTCTGGTGGTGCCTCAGATGGCAGGGGGGCAGACTGGCTCAGAGCAGAGCCCAGCACCTTGGGAGGCTTTGAGGGGCAGCGGAGCCCAGCAGTACCCAGAAGCAGAAGTTTGCCTCTGCCTTGCTGGAGAGAGGCTCCGCTCCTGGAAGGGCTTTTGCACTTATCTCCCTGCAACCAGTTGGTGGAGACCTTCCCCCTGGGTGTCCAGGAGACTGAGAGCTGATTTGCACTCACCAGGCTCAGCCTGGAACTGAGGAACTGCTTGTTCCTTGAAGGCAAAAGGCATTTAATTACTTATTTATTGATGGGTTTCTCAGCTACCCTCCCCAGCAGAGGCTCAGGGCAGCTCCCAGGACAAGCACAGAATGCACAGACCAGGAGAGTGGAGAAGGGGGCAAAACAGCTGGAAAACTCCATGCCAGGGGTTCTGTGGAGGCCCTGAGTCTGGCAAAGGAACAGGAGGGACCAGGCACAGCTGTGGCTGGCCAGAGGGTGACAGAGCCATGGGAGGAGGGATGCCAAACTCCAGGCCCGAAACCAGACCTCCAGGAACTGGGGATCCATGGGGCAGCACCTGCCATGTTCCTGGCTCCTTTCTTTGGAGAGGCCAGGGCCTGGGCACTGCACTGTGGGCCTGACCTGTTCCTGTCATGCTGTGCTCATGTGGCCCCTTGTCATTAAGTGCCGTGGTCAGGTCTGGAAGTATGTGCATGTGTTGGGGAGAGGCAGGGAGGGAGGGAAGCTGCCTTTCAACCACTGACAGCTTGTTTTCACCTCTTTGGAGGCCTGTTTTAAAGCCACACTCAGCTCGCAGGGTCTTTCACTGCTGCTTTGGATTTGAAGCAATACCTGATGCCCGTGAGACATAACCAATCTCCTCTGTTCCCAGCCCATCACATTGGAGGAGAAGAGGCCACTGAGCTAATCTCATTAAGCAGCTCTGCCTATCGAGGGAACACATCAGAGCCAGCAGCTCTGAGGATGACCCAGACTCCCTCTCAGTGCAGAGTAAGTTGCATTTCAGGGCATCTGTCATGGCAGGAGTGAGCCTGTGTCTCTGGAAGAAGCAGCCCTGTGCGCCCCCACCCCCACCCAATCCCACATGAAATACCATGATCACCACAGTGATTTTCCCAGGGACAGGGAATAATCACCTTTCTGGCATGGGGTGGTACCCATGGCAGTAATTTCATAGATTTCATAGACATTCGGGCTGGAAGGGACCTCAGAAGATCATCGAGTCCAGTCCCCTGCCCCAGGGGCAGGAAGTCAG